CTTGTCGGGGGTCATTGTCAGGTTAGGAATGAAAGGTGTGACATAGACAAAGAAACGTGGTATGTAGTAGATAGCAATGATACAGCCTTGGGTGGCACAGGTAGAGAAGGTCTTCATTCTCCCCTGAGGAGGACAGCAGTTTGGGGTTAAAATGAGTTATGAATTATAAAATAGAAAGATAGAAAATACATGTCACATTTAGGAAAGCAGTAGTTGCTGCACAAAAAGATAAAATGCTCTAATCTAGGCAAAGTCTGCGACCTTGTGAATTTTAGGATGGAGCACTTGGTGCATTGTAATCTTAATTATGAAAGTATCTGGCCTAATCCGACAAACATACAAGATTTAAAAATACACCATTATCTAAGGATAAAAACAGCTGAGCCTCACCTGTCCTTTGGCCATGCGCAATACTGAGATGACGATGCAAATGTAAGAGAAGATGATGAATGCTAAAGGAACATAAAGAATGAACATCGCTACAGCAAAGGCAAGACTGTATTGTCGACTGGTGTCCACACACACTAGAGATTTGAGCGACATGATGGTACAGAAGGCTTGTATGATTTTGTTGGGTCCACAAAACGGCATCAAGGTAAAGCTGATGGTGCTAATGCCAGGGAAGATGTGAGCTATCCCCCAGCAGAAGAGAGTCAAGCCTGCCATGGTTTGGTTTGTCATCATTGTCGGGTATCTGAGGAGAGAAAGAGAGGCAGAAATAGAGGGAATGATGGACAGGAGAAGAGTGAGGGGGAAAGAAAAGAGAGATGAGACTAATCAAACTTATTTTTTTCACCTGAGAGGAAAACAGATGGCCAGATATCTGTCCAGGGCCATGGTCAATAAAATCAGAGAATTCAAGGAGCCAAAATAGTGGATCATATGCATTTGGAAGAAGCAAGTGTGAAAGCCAAGACTCCCATCATTCCACCAGTAGCGAGCAATTAGTTTGGGTAAAGCCACTGTGGCAAAACCTACAGGAAAAAGAGAAAAGTGAGAGATGTCAAGGCAAAGCAGATCACACGAGACAGTTCTACTGTTTTCTGGAAGAAAAAATGAAAAGACATAACATGAAAGATCACATTAATTTTCAAACCTAGGCGATCCAGGTTGCCTCCACTGTTATAAAGGTCAACGACAGTAAATTGCACAGTTACTAAGAGCATCAATGTTTCTTTCATTGTTTCAAAGAGCCAAGTGATGAGTATTAGGAGTAATATTTATTTTTCATTTTTTATAAAAGCAGTGTAACACCTAATACACCAGAGCCTGAGAGCAGAAGACAGGGGGCAGGTGAGACAAATGATATCATATTTACCTATATCTGAGAGGGCCAGGCTGACCATGATGATGTACATGGGCTCATGGAGACTGCGCTCCAAAGTAAACACCACTACCAGCAGGAGGTTGCCCACCGCTGTGGTCACATAGAGGAAGAAGAAGAACCACGCCACTAGGACAAAGTACTCTGGCTGGAGACTTGGGAAGCCCACAATAACAAACTCTGACACACGTGTGTAGTTCTCATCCACCTGAAACATACTGAAGGCAGAGTCAAGCAGATAGTATTAGCAGTACAGTTACAGCACATGATTGAGAGGGAACATAGACTTTGAGATGTATCAGTGCTTACCTCACTGAATGGCCCTCACAGTAGGATGAACGCAAGCAGCAGCCTCTCAGTTTTATAAAGACTTTGTGACAGGCAGGAAGTATGTTGATACAACTTTGTCCTAG